AGTAAAATTCCATCTAAAAGATGAATTTTACATTTTAATTTATATTTAATTAAGCGTGATTTAAGCTAAGTGAAGTAATGAGTATGAAATATCCATTATCCCAAATAAAACCTCATAACCTATATCATTCCACATGTAATATATTTATTAGGGATTATTCATATGTGACTTAGTTTTTATCATACAATCAATCAATAATTGCCCATCGTGCTTCATTATATGAAGGACAAATATCTAGTGGGTATATTTACTATAATGAAGTTAGATATTCAGGGCTCCATATCAAATTATCTAAATTTCTCAAGTTCATCTAAAGAGCAATATGTATGGAGAAATGATCCTATAGGACCTTCCCCCACTTATGTGTGTAGGACCCCAAAGGATCATCATTAAATTTGGCATGGATTTATAGAAAAGTTAAGTCCTACACCCATGTGATAACTTCTCTAGAGATCCGTACCAACTTTAATGGTGATCATTTAAGGCCTTACACACATGAATTGGGGAGGGTCCTATAGGATCATTCCTCATATGTATGACATAAATATGTATTAAGTTAATATCAAGTTTCATAATACAACATATTTAGCCGATATGTCTGTAGTGTGTGTTTTGAACTATTAGTCTATAGAGAATATCAATTATACTCCACAAATGGGGTGTATATAGAAATAGGAGGACATCTATGGTCTATATATATATATATATATTATTTTATTTGAATAGTATAAAGGGCTATAACCCGGTGTTGGTCTCGCCTAAGCAGTATCCCGAGAGGGATGGGCTGAAAACGCTCCTAATCGTTGGCTTATACACAAAGTGGCCGCACTCAAGACTCGAACCCACACTCTTGAGCCAGCTACCCGAGCCTTTTACTATTACACCAAGTGACGACACCTTTTTGTTTATGACCGGCCTATGGTCTATAAATAAGTTAGATATAATTTCAAGCTCATTTGAAGTAATGAATGTGAAATATGCATTATGTCCAATAAAACTTCATAAAACTAGGGAAGTGACTAGGGCCGTGGTGGTAGCACCTTGCATCCTAGTCATCACATTATGGTTTCCATTCCCAATACTAACACCTTCAAAATGCTAACTCCTATTCCACTTAAAAAAACGGGTAGGGGCTTGTCTTCTCCATTGAATTACCCCAAAAAAAAAAAACTTCATAAACCAATGCATTTTACACACAATTATTGTATTAGGGTTTACTCAAATGTGACTCGGCTATTATCTTGCAATCAATTGATCACTGCCCTTCAATCTTCATTATATAATAGAATCTTCTAATGAATGAAGTGAGATATTTAGGGCATCCCATATCAAGTTATTTCAGTTTCGCATGTCTTTATTTACTAACAAATTTCATAACAAAATGTAGGGAGAGATTTACAAAAATATCCCTTATATTTTATAGAAATAAAAAATATTCTCAATATTCTATACTTTATGTTGGAAAATTATCAAAGATATTCTTAATTATTTTTCATTATTTTAAAAATATGATATTTTTTAATTTACATCCATGCCCAAACTGTCATGGTTCTTTTTTTATACTAAAAAAGCCCATCATGGCCCTAGGCACCCCCTTGGGTGCTTCCTAGGAAACACCCATTAGGCATCATAGTCCCAATAGAGCCATGGTGCACTAGCACCCTAATGAGGACGTGATACCCAAGATGCCTTGGGGTACCTATTAGGGTTGTGATGCCCAAAGCACTCCATTGGGTGTATTGGGTGTTTCCTAGAAATGACCCTTCAAACATCATTACCTGATCAGAGCCGTGATAGTGGAGAGAGACATTAAAAAGACAATCCTACTCAGTAGCACCGCTCAACAAAAGGTGGTTGTTCCTTACAAATAAGTCACTTCAACTGCATGAAAAAACGCAGAGATATGCAATGATCCATCCCAACTTTTCATATTGATTGTGCTCAGGTCTACGACATATGGGACGTTGCGCAGGACGAGACATTCAGATGTTGGTTTTCTTAGTTTCCGAACTCAATGGCAGCTTCAGCTTCTTCGACGGCCTTCACTCATGGGGAATTTGACGAACAAAAGCGAACCCAACAATGATTCGCTCTAGGGCAAAAGAGTGTGATTCATTGCCTTGGGCATCATGACCCTAAGCATTTGGTTCTGATAGGGTTGTGATGCATAACGCAGGTGCAGTGAAGAGTATATTGGGGACGAAATTGTAAAAAATTGGACATGATATAAAATTCAAAAAAATTGCCGAATTTTAAAAAAAGATATTTTTTATATTTTATCTTTACATTTATGTCCCACTTTTTACGAACATGTTTAGTAGTTCAATTTTATATTTTCCTTATATTATATTGAACTAAAAAATCGTGTGTCCATAATTCTCATCACCATACATCTCTTAATTTATGAAAAAATATTATAAAAGTAATAAAGTAAAAATAAAAGGGAAATTTTATATGAACACCCTAATTTGGTGTATGATTTCCTCATAGACCTTGAATTTTGAAAACTTTATAACGGTATCTAGTTTATCACATTCTTATCTTTTAACCCCTTAAGCGGTCACAACCGTGATGTTTTTCATTTAACACTGGTTTTTTGTCCTAATTATAACCTATAAAAATGCACAGGTCCCAATCTCATTTCACTCTTTTGTCATCGCCTCCCTCTATGTCTCTCTCCCTTCCCCCGTTTGCTCTCTCTATGGCCTCTCTCCACCAACTCATTTCTCGCTCTGTCATTGAGCAAACAGAGCGATGGCAGCACTCCATCAAAGCTTGAATAATTTATTTATTAAGGTTTCCCGTAAGTCTAGGTTATAAAGACCATTCCTTTTCTCCAGATCACAGAGAGAAAGGGATAGATAGATATTAGAGAGAGATGAGACCACAAAAACGACTATAGAAAAACAAACAGGGATTTAAAGAGAAATGAGGACAAAGGGAGGTATGAAATAGAAACAAAAGGAAAAAAGTGGAATGCATAAGAAGACGAATTCACAAGAGAAATGACAAAGCAATACAAAAATGGAGCAAACTGCGAAAGAGGACATGGATTTACAATGAAAATGGAGAGGGAGAAAGAGAGAGAGGGAGAAGAAACAAGAGACAAAAGGGATAGAAACAAATAATAGAGAAGAGAGAGAGATATACCCTTAAAAAATAAAAATAAAAACTGATGCAAAAGAAAATTCAAAAGGAGTCTATAAAAAATTAGAAAGTTTTCACAATGAGGAACAATAGAGCGAATGAAAGGAAGATATGAATTTTTAGTTCCTGAAGCCATATTGATCAATGGGAAGAGAAGATATGTTATGATCGAACAAGTTTTTATAATTCTTTATAATGCAATTGATTGTTCCAGTCTAGGACTTAGAGATAGAAAAAAGAGGGATTTGAGAGAGAGAGACGTATGGGCAAAGTGCAAGGTGTGAGAGAGAGGCAGAGGAAGGCGGAGAAAAAAAACGTCTTTATTGATTTTGTTTAGGACGAAAAACCAATGCGATGAACATTTGGATAATAACCATCGAGGTTCGGAGCAGGAAAGTAAAAATTCTTAATGGCGCGATAAAGTTTTTAAATTTCAGGGTGCATGGAGAAAATATACACCAAATTAGGGTCTATAGAGAGATTTTTTCAAAATAAAATAATTTAAAATATATAAAAATGATTTTTAAAAGTATTTTGATCATTTTATTTATTTTAAATTACTATTTTTAGATTGTTTATAATACATAATAACAGAAAATATAAGCACCTAAAATATAAGATTAAGCTAATAATAGAAAAATATAAATATTAAAACACAATACTCTGTACTTTATGTGAAAAAGTGGGAAATAAGGGACTGCCTGGGCAGTCCACACAAGTATTTAGGGTTGGGCCGTGTCCTAACTTGTGGCCTAGACCCAGCCAAACCTTGTGACCAGGCCTAGTTTTTGGTCCTACACCCGAACTCTCAGGCCTCAACTTGACGGTCTGGTCCTATTTGTAGAGTCGGCCCACTTGGTCTGTTGCCAGGTTCTCTTGCCATTTAAAATGGAAACAGTTTCTATAGAGCCAAGGTTCTAAACAATAAAAGTAGAGCTCACCTCAAAAATATCACTAGAATACATTGTTTTGATTTATTCTCAAATATTCTCAAATTGATCATCTCGACAACAAGATGCATGGACATGAGAAAGAAATATTCTCAAATTGATCAATTTTTGGAATTAGTGCATCTTGTAGTACATTTTTGGACCGTCAATTTTAAGATAGGCTCGATCTACATTATTTTTGAAGCTTTAAATTTTGTAATTAGAAATAAAAATATATTTTAGGGCTATCACAAAGATTTTATGTATTGAACCCACATTTCTTAATACTATTTGAAGGTGTGCTCTACTTTGATTGTTTAGAGCTTCAGCTCTATACAAACCGTACCTTTTGAATGATGGAAAAAGTTTATATAGAGCCAGTCTTAACTATCAAATTTAAGCGTACCTCAAAAATTTCATTAGAAGTGGTTGTTTTGATTCTCAAATATCTTCAAATTGATCATCTCGTCATCAAGATACATGTAAAAAAATAGATTTCAAAGTTTTGAAAATAGTGTATTTTACAAAACATTTTTGGATCATCAATTGTCAAGATTTTCAAATTTTTACATATATGTCCATTTATACTGTTTTTGAAGTTTTAAATTTTATAAATAAATATAAAAATATATTTTAAGACAATCACATATATTTTTAGTAGTGAAACCACATTTGTTGACACTATTTGAAGGTAGGCTATAATTTGATTGGTTAAGACTTAAGACCCTCAAATATTTTGTTTTAAGGTATTACGGTGGGTCATAAAGTGTAGCCGCCCTCGTCTCCTAACCATGGTCACGACACGAGCAAATGTCCCTCTCTTACACGATTATATTTTAAAGGGGTTGTTGCCCAACCATCCCTGGTCTTCGGTTAAACCAAATGCAATCTCAGCCATTCGATCTTCTTGATCCAACCGCTGTCATAACCCAAAGGATGGATCCCTATAAATTGTCCAATTCCGCTATGATCGTTGTTAATTGTCTGGTTTCAGAGACAGAGGGAGACGGGTGCAATATCAGTTTTTGCAGTGGAAGCATTTCTCTCTATGAAAGATTCTCTATTGACGATTTTCGATTTCTAGGGTTTGCTTGAGCCAGAAATTGTCATAAAAAAGGTTGAATTTGTTAGAGAGATTTTTGGGTTTAATCTGGCAATGGTCCTGGAATTGGGGTTTTTTGCGCGCAGAGAAAGCTTATGAAATTATGGGCCTTGGAGAAGGGGAATTGACTGGAAAATTATCAAAGGGATCGCCCTCTGTATCTTGTTCGATTTGCCTAGAGGTAGTAACAGAAGGTGGTGATCGATCTATTGCAAAGCTCAGATGTAGCCATGAATTCCATTTGGGTATGGAATCAAACCTCTATTGATCTATTCGAACTCCCATCTTTAATTTCTGAAATTTTGCCTCTTTTTTGGTGCAATTTGATATTAATAAATGGAATCTTGATTGATAAAACGGGGTCCCAGGGCCTCTCACTGGAAAATTAGGTAACCTGGATTCATGGGCATTTTTTGCTCTGGTTTTTGGGGTCGTTTTTGTGTAGATATGAGAAATTCATCCACAAGGAAGGACTTATATAGGGAAGAGCAGGAAATTTTGGTAATTGGATCAGTTGGGCTACTTTTTATTTTCTCAGTGGGTTCATCTTCTGTGCACTTTATGGAATAGAGGATGAATTACTGATGAATATTTTGCAGAAGATGAATCCTTTAAGGAAGGATAGGTGCACTTCTGGAATGGAGATTGGGTTTTCGTAATAAGAATAAATGCATGCGTTAACAATATGGGAGTTTTGGGGTGTCAATAGTTGGAAAATGTTGCATTTTTTTTGGGGCTAACCTTATGTGACTTTTGTTGATTTAATAGTTGGCAAATGTTGCAATTTGTTTGGGGCTCGTTGTGGTGTGGGCGTCATGAAAATGGAGTTTGAATTCCTTCAATAGAAGAAACACACATGGGACGTATTGTGTGTGGACGTTATCAAATAGAGATCTAATTCCTTCAATATAATAGACACGCATGGTCAATATTGTTGTATGGACATAACCAAATAGAGATTTGAATTCCTTAAAAAAAAAAGAAAAGCAATGTGGGGAACATTGAGATGCTGGATATTCCCTCTCCCTCTCTCCCTCTATTGTGGAGAGTTAGGATATTTTGTGGGTATGTTTTTTATTGCAGGTTTGTTTCATGGTAGAAATCAAAGTCATGCTTACCATATCAACTCTAATTAGACCATGGGTCAAAACCATTGCAATAATTTTATAATTTATCATTATTGCAGTGGTTTTGAGGCCATTTAAAAGATTTCAATCAAGTCATAGTTTGTCATCATCCTAGAATAGGCTGTATTCTGGACAAGAATAAATTATAAGCTCCTTGATAGCTAAGCATATATCATATTTACATGTCACAAACATGGTCACCCCCTCCCCCACCCCCTCCTCCCCTCCTCCCCTCCCCCACCCCCCCCTCATCCCCCCATCCACTCTCCCAAAAAAAATAAAATAAATCACGGATAAGTGATTCACAATTTTCTTCCACCCTTAAATCAGATAAACTAACTTAACCTTGCATAAAAATTTGACAATTTTCCTTTGGTTGCTTCAACACCTTATCTTTGTCTACCAAATGACCACTCCTTTGGAGAAGGTGATGTACACTCTTCTTCTCTCTTCATTTTAGTTTTTAAGTGTTTTTATTTTAAATTAACAAAGAGGACGATGGTTATATCAAGTTTCGTGGTTTGAGATTAGAATCTTCCCTCCTGGTGTATGACAGTATCTATTTGGGCTTTGCTTGATATAATAAGGTCTGTTGGGATTTCTGAAGAACTGGATCAAATAGTGAATGTTTGTTATGGTTCACGTCAAGACTGAAAGTTTCTCATGACATGGATTGTTAATATTCTATTTTGATGCTCCTCACTTGGTATCCAACTAGACGTTGACAGATTGACAATTTATTCTTTGGGCTTGTCTGGTTAGTGGTTTATTTTGGAGGATGTTGTATCTCAAGGAACTATTGAACTTCATTTGCTTGTCCTTGTGCATATAATTTTCAGGCTAGTGCTTGTTTATTGCATATTTGGTCTATCACCTTAGTACAGAAATCAGCTGTTGTTCTTCCTAATTTTGAATAGCGCGCCCACACAGACGTATGTAATTGGAATTGTTTATTTATGTTTGTCTTTTATCTGTTTCAGATTGTATTGGTTCAGAATTCAATGCCAAAGGGGTAATGCAATGCCCGAATTGTAGAAAGGTTGAGAAAGGTCAATGGCTATTTGCAAATGGATACCGCTCTTTTGAGGACTTTGCCGTGGATGAGTGGGCGCATGATGAAGATCTATATGATCTAAGAATTTCTGAACTGGTACACAAATTCATATCATATAAAGATTTCATATGGTCGTAGATTTTTTATTTCCATTAAGTATGGGTGTAAATTTTGGAAGGTCGGTGTTGATTTCTTTGAGAATTCCTATATTGACATGGTCTTTGACTCGTTATGTGGTGAGTTCACTAGAAATGTTGTGTACCATCTATGCCAAATAAAAATTGGGATTTTGTAGGGAACTAGCATGCATGCACACTTGAAAAAAAGTCTTGCACACTTGAAAAAAAGTCTTTCTGCCATTTTTTTTTGTCTTTTGTTTTCTACTCGTGAGAGAAAAAGCCTCTCTGTTATTTTCTTTGCCAATCTTTCTTAGCCCTCGTGACTACTGTCATAGCTTTGGTAAGTCACGCGTAATTTTTGTTGCCTAAGTTATTGTTGATCAAATTAGACCCTAGTTACTCATAAGAGTTATTTTATTGGAATTATGGGACAAGTATTAATCTTTTATTTCTTGTTGGTACACTTCTGATATCTTATTACTTCCAGATAATAATAACGACATTATATTTATTTCCTCTTCATGGTTTTGCAAGGAGTGATTTTTTTTAAGGAAAATGTTTAGGGATACTCAAAGTACACCCTCCCCTAAAACAAGGTGTCCAAAACAGATCACCACTAAGACCCCAATAGGCTGCCCCAACTACTCCCACTAATCTTACATTCTAACCCCTCCGATACTTTCTGAGCCAGTCAAATTTTGATCACATACAGTTCTGTAGTTTTTGGTCCTAAAAGTCCCCAATCACATAAGGAAGCTCTCCCTGTCCTCTCTCTCTCTCTCTTTCTAATCTGTCCCCACTCCCTCCATCAAGAATTCTCTCTTATCTTTCTCGAAAACATGAATGAGTGATCCTATTTAAAAATGTGGGTACCAATGAGATTGAAATTAATTACTAGTAGAATTCTATTTAACATTTTAGGAGGTCTTTATAGTGTGGCTTACCTGGTAATCAAACATTAAAGAAAATGGGTTCTGAAGGATTATGGGTGAGACTCAATTGAACTCAGAATGACAGAAATTTACAAAGTGGTTGGAGCAGTCAGTGAAGAATGTGTGAGGACTGCGGTTTTTGTTGAGTTCCCAAATTTTATGAATTTGAGTACCACTGAGGTTCCCAACCCTGTAGCCTCAATTTCAACGGTTTTTTACGCTAATAATTGCTCATGCATCCTCCCATCTATCTTGTTACTTCCTGCAAATATCAAGCAATCATCATAACCATTGTCAGACAGTGTTTTCATGGTCATATACCTGCAACAAGGGGATGCCCAAGGTTTCAAAAACAAATTATAAATGGAAAAAAGAAGATTTCTTGGTCATGGCTTCAAGTAAAGGCCGAAAAAGAACATAAAAGATAGTTGAAGGCATGCTTCAAAAGAATCTTCATGAAGGAAATTTATAATTATGAAAAGCATGGTCCTTAGTTATTTGAAACATTAGGATATCATCCAAGAAACATTAGGATATCATCTAGGAAAAATGCAAAAAGACAGAGAGGGTGAATAAAACCTGAAGGCCTCCATAATTACACCAAAATTTACTAGAAAAAGAGCACAACTTTGTAAACTGAAAACAAATGACAAATCAATAAAGGAGAAAAGAGAAGTTGAAATGAAACAAGAAAGAAGAAGAAAGAAGGGATGAAAAATAACCAGACATCCTGCACCAGTGAGGATCACTTTGGGAGAATTTGCAATAACATGCTGATGTTGGGTGAGGAAGAGAGAAAAAGTTAAGAAGAAGAGTGTGAGAAGATGGCCTGACACCATCGATTATTTTTCTCACTCTTCTTCATGGTGAGTTCAGTTATTAGGTTTAGAAGAAGCAAAAGAAGGTACAATGAGGGAGGGAGGGAAGGAGGGATTTGTTTTGCAGTTGGGAACTTAGTGAATTTGGAACCAACAATAGGGTACTTTATGTCAGTGTTTTAAAATGCAGGATGCGGCCAACAGCGGTAGGGGGGTCGATACGGTGATGCGGCTCGATGCGGTCAGGATGCGGGTGCATCACGACGATGTGATCAATAAATATAAAAATATTCTAAAAAATCTAAAATAATAAGTTAATGCATAAAAAAAAATATGGAGGTGATATATGTGATAGTAAGTATTTTAATTTATTAATTAACTTTAAAAGTATTAGCTGTCGGAGATTCTGTATCCACTATCCCCGAATAGAAACTAGAAACTTGAAACTAGCTTAAAAACACATTCAACAATCAACAACCATAAGCACAAATTTGCAACCACAAACTTTAAACTTTAAAGTTACAAAATAGTGATACTACAAACCAAAAGTCCATGTCTCCATGAAGATTAAAGAGTTTTGAAGTCGAGCTCAAGAAGAGTTAATACAATCATCCATTCATCATAGAAGTCGTCTTGAGAGTTTGCATGTGCATCATCATCAATATCATCCTCGGTGCCCTACATGTATTCTTCTTCCTCGGTCCTCCATGTATTCTTCTTCCTCGGTCACCTTTGAGTCAGCCTCCTCCTCGACCTCTGAAGCTGATGTGCGAGTGCGACTAGACCCAGCTCCTCGACTCCTTTTAGCTCTAGTGTTAGGTCAATCTTCTTCATTAGCCCCTGTTGCTAACTCGACATAGAGCTATGTAAGATCCTCACCTTCAAACACACGCTCTAGTCTTGGATCTGTGGTCCACTCACTTGTGGAATCACCATCTGCTTCATACAATTGAATAGGGTTGAGGTTCATGTGATTTTGATGCCTCTCACTAAGCCGCTCATTATACCGCACATAAACCAAATCATTCAACTTCTTCTGCTTCAACCTATTTTTTTTTTTGGTATGGAGCTGTGGTAGAAAATTGAAATTAGATAAATTAGATAAATTAGATAAATTAGATTTTAGATTAGAAAATTGAAAATTGAAAATTGAAATTGAAATTCAAGAAATAAGGATTAAGGAATAAGGACTTACATGTTCAAATGCACTCCAATTGCGTTCACAACCAGATGAGCTACATGTGAGATTCAACACTCGAACAGCGAGCTATTGTAGATTTGATGTCTCGCTTCCATATAATGCCCCCCATGTAGCTGTATAATATTTTATAATTTAGGTTATAGATAAAAATTAAGGGTAAACAAACAAACAATTGAACTATACATAAAGTCACAGGCAAGTACGGGTACTTTTGGCCTTTACCTGGATTTGTAGTATCTCTATTTTGAGTAGCAATCTCTCTCCCAAAGTTTCCCAAGCCTAACTTGAATTTAATCAATTCATGGCTCTGGATCTCATCTTGGATATCTTTATCAGGCACCAACCTCTCAAGAACATCTAAGAACCCACCATTTATTATACGATTTGACTCAATGGATCGGTGCTTGTAGTAAAGAGATGGGTTTAGAAAGTAATCAGCTGCATGGAGGTGCCTGTGAAGCTGGGTATCCTATCTCCTATCAATAATTTCAAGTATAGATTTGCATTATTTTCATCATCCTTTAAACATTTTTTTATCTCTACTCTTGCCCTAGTCATTGCCTCATGTATGTAGCCCATAGCGGGCTTCACATCACCATCAACCAGTTGAAGTACTCTCATTAAAGGGCGAGCCACCTCCAATGCAAGAATTATTTGACTCCAAAAAGATGTATTAATTTGTTTAGCTTTTCTTCCATCCTTATGCTTTGACCATTTACTTTGACTCCATTGCTCTGAAGCAAACATGGTTCTCAAGGCACTTTTTTTGCTTGGCTAGGCTTCGAAGAGTGAGAAATGAAGTGGCAAATCTAGTGATACTCAGTCTCACTAATTCTCTCTTCTTTGTAAAAGACCTCATTGTGCTTAGCATTATGATGTGATTGTAAATAAATCCAACAACAAACATAGCTCTTGAAATCACCCCACTAAATATGTTGTACCTATTGCCTTAAGCATAAGATTAACACAATGAGCTGTGCAAGGAGTCCAAAACATATCCGTCATCTTCAAAGTCAAGAAATGCCTAGTTGCAGCATAATTGGCACCATTGTCATAGACAATTTGTACCACATTTTTCTCTCCAACAAACTCTACAATCTCATCCATCAAGCCACATAAGTATGTAGCATCATGTGACTTATCTGATGCATCAACATACTTAACAAAAAAAATACCTGTTGGACAGTTAATTAAAAAAATTAATGAATGTCCTCAACTTCCCTTCAGACCAACCATCACACATAATAGTGGCCCCATATTTCTCCTACCCTTCTCTTTGAGAAATCAAAATTTTGTTGACATCAAATACAACATCCTTCAATAAAGGGTTCCTAACTTCATGTAGTGAAGAGGCACAAGTCCTGGGCCATATTGCTCAATTGCCTGGACCATACATGCAAAACTTTTGAGGGTTATAGTATTGAAAGGAATGCTGGCCATGTAAAACCACTTTGCAATATACTTACATACCGACTTCCTCTGTTCTTTCTTGTATCTATTTTCAATTGTGGTTTGTTTTTTTTCTTCCTCTCCTGAACCACAATTTGGGGCTAGAGGTGAAAACAACATCCATTGGCCCCTTAGAGAGAGGTGCTATTTTCTCAACATTACCACCAATATTTATAACCCTCTCTCTTGAGATTGGAGTACCCTTTTGCCTTATCGCAACTTCTGATATATCATCATCATCATCAATATCATCATCAAATAATTGCATATCATCAAGTAATTCTTTCTTTTCATTTTTTTTCTTCTCTTTATCTTTTTTCAAGCTATCAATGTATTCTCTAATCTCCTTTTTTATTTCGTAGGTAGCTTGTGGGCATGCTCATACATTCCCAGAAATTCTAGCTTAGTGTTATTTTTGTCGAAAAATACCAACCATATAAGTATTTCCATAGAGCTTACAAATCACAATTTCGATCTTTCGGATTTTTTAGTTTGGCATATTTCCAAGACGGATCCTTATTACTAGAAGATTGGGAAGAAGACATTGCCTCAAAAAAAAGTGCTACTGTGGAAGGAAAAAAAAGTTACCGGTTTTGAAAGCAATTATCGATTTCTTCACGGCCTTTGAAACCTTCGATTTGTCGTCACAAGTTCACCTAAATTTTCCCAAATCAACAACCAAAAGGTTCAAATCAATATCCAAGTATCAAAAAATCTCCAAATCCAAGATCTCAACCAAAAAAGATTTCCGCCTAATTTTTTTTTTGCTCAATTTGATCACAAAAATCCCACGAATGTGGCTCAAAATGGTCATTTAGGGGGTTTAATGCCCCCCTCAAACCATTTCCCCCAAATTTCAATGGTCAAAAAGACCATTTTGCCCATTCCCGAGGGGCAAAGTTTAAAAAAAATCGTGGAACTGTATGCGGCTAGATGCGCCTAATGCGCTATGCGACTCTGATGCGCTGCATATGCAGGCGCATCCCTCAAAACTGCATATGCGGTGAATTCTGATGTGGTGCCCAGCGCATACCGCATGATGCGCCCGCATATGCGGCGATTTAAAACACTGCTTTGTGTGATTAAAAATTTAACTTTGGTTGAAAAGGTATGGAGGTTGTTGGATGTAGAATAAGGAGGAGTATTTGGGGTCGCCTGTTGGGGTTCTAGAGGTGGGGTGCTCTTTGACACTTTGTTTTTGCGGAGGGTGTGTGCTATGCAAATTTCCCAAATGTCTATTATATCTTTTCCTTCTGTGTGCAATCCATTTGGTGCTTTCTTAATATGAAAGATGATACCTGTGGTCTGTCTGTTAGATGCATATCATAATCTTCGTTGCTTCTGTGGCTGATGGTTCCCTCCTAATTTGTTGTCAGAAATGTTCATTATACAATTGTGAGGCTTGAAAATAAATCTGTTGATTCTAAAACATTTGATCTGTGTACTCTTTGGTATGCTAGAGCTCCACAATTTGATATCTAAAAAAAGGAACTGCAAATTGTAATGCACACAGGAGGACGAAATTTCTAAGGCCAGTCACATTCAAATAGGAGGACAGTTGTTTGTAAAGGATTGTTTGCACAGACTTGAATGTCTAGCTTGGGTGTATTGGCAACAATAAAGTTCTTCTATCTCAATTGGTGCTTTGTGTAGAAACTTATAATATGGCGAACCACGTGTATTAGAAATTTTTAGATATTCTCCTTTGGTGAATGGAGCAATATTGGAAACTTTTGCACTCATGCTTGTAAGGCAGTCATATTGATTCATGGCAGTCATATTGAATCATTAAATGAATAATGTGAATCGTGTCCTAGTTGTTACCAACTGGCTGCATTGAGTCATGCCAAGTTTGGCAAGCTTGGCTGAGTCATTGATCTTATGGTTGTACTAAAATATATCTGAGCAAAAGACAAATGGATGGGTTAAGATGCACTTCAGACTACAAACCTTTTTTCATGTTTGTTATAGTCCAAAGACGAAAGGGATATTGTAGTTAGAGTGTGTTGGTCTTGCATTTTAGGCAAAAGGGGGCAAAACATAGCATAAGGATTATGAAGGTTTTTTTGTTTTGGCTGAATGTTAGCATTTGTATTCAAAAGAATGTGAGTTGTCAAATCTAAAGACTTGAATTGTTCGTTATCCTAGGAGAAATAAAATGAGTGTTTACTAGAGGGTGGGGATTGATTGATATCCGTTATAAGGTTATGATGATTGTATATAGGGCTCAATAGATTGCCATAGAAAGTTCATGTCACATGTGATTGCAGTTATTCTTCTCTAGGATGCCATTTGATGGGAGCAAAGGCGCATCACGGTGAAGGAAACACTGATGGGTGTCGTGGGTGTTCATTGGTGATTTAGGGATGCAGCGGTGATGATGTTGCAATTTGATGATTCCCCTGGCATCCTTGAGTCTCATTTGATTAGCTGGTCTTTGAACTCAACTTGTAACAACTGGGGCATGTCACGAATAGAACATATCTATTTGGATATCTTTATTTCTAATATCCAAGCCCTCTTTTTTAGCCTTTGTACATGGGCCTTGTTCCATTTCACATCGTAAAAATCACTGATGCCATTCTGAGAATTAAATTGCTTACAGGTCTACGAATGTGTCCCTTCTATATAAGGAATTGATTAATAGTAGAAGGGGTTTGCTAAATGTCATAATATGGGTCCATAAACTCTCTGGGGTTTGGCTATGATATTTGGTGATATTTTCAACAGTTGTGATACTAAGAATGTGACTTTTTGCACATTCTTATGGGACCTGACCTCTTGTTTCGCAAATCTTGAAGATTCACAAATGTGTTCGAAATCTCTCTGGCTTTCCTACCACTGCTGTCAACAATAACATGCCGTACACTAGCATTCAAGGTGGGGTAGGGAAATGGATGATGGGGTTATACAAGCTGGGTCGTCTGGCCTATACTGTTCTATGGGCCGGTTAGCTCACAAAATCTTTATATATATATATATCCATATGCGTGTTTGTGAAAATATTTTGCACGATATGTGGCTCTGGCTGTCTTCCTTTTTGCCATTTGATGAATATGGATGGCACAAGATGCATTGAGACAATGAGTGTTAGTGCATCTTGTGCCGTCCATTTCCATAGGACGGCACTGGGGCATGGACCCACTGCTGTATAAGAACCTTACAACACACACACACATACTCATGTGGGTTTTGTTAGGCTACTCCTTTAACCTATTCATCATTTGTTGGACACTTAATACCCCTGTCTCTTAATACCAAGCTTTTTGAGTAAGGATGCTTTTTGTCATTAGTGTGGTTTAGATAGATAACTTTGGAAGAGGATAATATGACATTTTATTAGCCTTACATAGGTGATGTCACACCCTATGTGGATGATATTGAATCACACATATGGGATGTCATTCACTAGAATAGTTAGTAAATGTTTCTCTATAGAATATTTCTACTTTAGCCTTGATTGATTACCTAAAATACCTACACTACTAACAAGAGGTTACTTATATTAAGGGTATCAAGTCTTCAAAAAAGTCGAGTAGCCTAATAAAACAGCACACGCATGCTCACGCACACACATATCTAAGGAGATTTGGTCCACCTTGGTGCAGACCGCTATAAAGTTGCCCTACAATGCCTACATCATTTTTGAGGGCCTTAGAGACATTTGTTTTAAGTCCAAATTTTGGACACATACTCTCTAGGATACAACAACAAATGAGATTGTGAAAAAAATGGGATATAGGATGAATGATGGTTTTCCCTAAAAAATGGGGTCCAAAGGGTCTCCCTAGCTATGGTTTTGTTGAGCTAGTTGGGCACTGTAACGGTCTGCACTTGGGTGGACCAAATCTTTTTTCATATATATACACACACACACACACACACTCATATATACACACACACACACTCATATATACACACACGCACACGTGTTTTGTGTGTGTGTTTGTGTTGCTTATGTTTAAATTATGGTTCCTTAGTAGTTTTTGGTCCTACATTGCATATTCGGTGCTTCACTCAATACCCTTCCCTTGATATGCTTATATGCTGACCTATAGTGACTTAGGAATTTTGTTGCTATGTTTTTGGAGTATACTTATATAAAATCAAAATCCATACTTAACAAGCTTTTAAGTTTGTTTGCAATATTCTGTTCCTGTTGTGTTTGCAGCCATTTGGGTTTCAATGGTGCCCATATCGTGGATTTTCTCAATTTTCTGCATCATTTGAGTAAGTCTCATAACTTCAAATTGAAAGCTATTTTTGTTTATTTTTTTTTATGGGCCTGTCTGTGATAGTAGCATTTTAGCTTTTTCAAGTCAAATGAGATGGGAATTGTTGACTGCTCTTTTTTGTAATTTGATGTTTTATTAGTCTTCTTTTAAAGGCTTAATTTGATATTTGGAGTTCCCTCCTATTTCATTATCGGATTTTTAGCCTATATTAGTCTCCAGATGCTCTTATGGGGCATTTGGATATTTATGTTATATCTTAAATAACTTCGATGGTAATCTTCCATGGCGAATTACTATGAAGAATCAGTAAATGGGCCTATGCCACCAAGGGGATTCCCTTTATTTCAAGTAATACTTGGAAATCCTGAAAAGTCATGGGGCAGTGAGTTATATTGGTCTAAATTATTTATTCGGTAGTATCTCAGCATTTCAGAGTAAGGAGGGAGTCTTTTGCTATACATAACTTAGTCACTTGGAAGGAATTCATGGAATCTACATTGTGTTTGGTGTTCTTTTATGTAACTGGGGAATCCTAACCTTATTACAGTTCTTGCTCTCTGTTTTGATTGATGGTTGACTTAGGTGGCTAAAATGGTTTGTAACACTTGTTAGAATACATTGGTATCAATTTTTCTTAAAATTTCCAGGTATGACTACTTTGTGAGGTTTGTGCTTGATTGTTGCAATTGCTACAACGAACATTTTTTAATTGATGTGGTCCTTTTATTCCATTTGTTAATTCATGGATTCTTCTACTTTCTATATCTTTCTTATAAATTAGAAGTCAGTACAACTTCATGATTATCTGATAAACTCAGGAATAACCTATCTGTTCTTCATTATGTTGAAATTGATTTAACAATTGCCCCAACTTTGTTTAATACTGTATTTGATTCTGGTGGTTGCCACTGCTTGGCTTTAAGAATTTGCGATTGGAGATGTGTGGCTTGAGGAGTTGGAAGGAGAATGGTGGAGCTTGTTCCAGGTGGAGGGGTAGGCCGGATGTAAAAGTGTGATAAGTTTCAAAAGGTTTAGTTGCCAAAGATTTCAGCACGGTACCCTGGGCTAGGTTGCTAGGATTGCTGCCAACAAATATGTTTCTAATAGAAGAAGCTATAAGGAATAGATAGGCTTTAAGGATCCCCTGATATGTAGTTGCAAATTCATTGATTTCATAACCGAAAAATTAAATGAATGAGCTAATAACCAAGGATGAAGACAAGCCAAAGTTCCAGCTAAGACTTTGGCTTAATGGTGAGACACACGGTGTACAGCGGGGAGAGGTCTTGCGTGTCGATCTCTCTTAAAAAGCAAGCTTTTCTACCCCAGAACAACGCAGGGAATACAAACCACAAACATGCACATGAAGTATGTGGTTCACCACAATTTATGGCTATCTCTACAGGGCAGTGATATTGGGTTCCGAAAGTGTTGAGGAAGAAAATATTGAAGTTAAAAGGCTAGAACTGGTGCTATGAGAATTGGACTAGACATGGAATTGGACTGGTTTTTTGGTTTTCTTTCAAAATTAAGAATTTTGTAGATTTTTTTTTGAGAAGGTTAACCTTAATTTTGTAGAATAAATAAAAAAATACGAGAAGAACAATCACATGATATTGAAAGAAAAGGAAATTTACAGATGAAAAGAGGGCTTTTGACAAATTTTGGAGGGGAAAAAATATTTTAAGGCCATATTAGAGAGTGATTAAACTCACAAGGGAGAGGATGAAGTAGATTAGTCCCACATTGGTCATGTGAAGCAGTCTTACTTATAGTTCAGAGATACAGACCCAGAAACGAATGCAATCAACACCAGCTTGGGTAGATCCGCAACTAAACAGACGTGTGGACCATTCACTCCAAACAATAATGATTCTCAAATTTTTTAGAAGTGCTAAATATAACTAGAGAAGTAAGAATAGTTGGAATAAAAAAAAAAAATTATTGTCATACATTCAATGGTAAAAAGGACTTAAGAGTAAATCAGATCCTTATGGCTCCGTTTTATGGAGAACACCTGTCTGCGGGCCTCTATCTTCCTCCCCTCTGTCCCTCCAACCTTTCTTCCTTCCCATCAACCTCCATGTCCATCCCTTCCCCTTCCATCTCTAGCTACAACAGTCCTGCCAGCCTTCTCACATCCGCCGGATGGTGGACATCTGTCCACGGCCTTTCAACCCCCTTCCCTCTATCTGCCCAATCGTTTTCCATCTCTTCACCCTCAACCCACACCTGTCTCAACTAGCTCGCCAGCCTCGTATCCCTCATCATCCCTATTCTCTCCTTCCTCGAGACCTTCGCCATCTAGCTCACCCTCTTCTATTCCTCCTCTTTCCGTCATCTTTACGAAAACTATACCCATTTCATTCATCCCTCTAAGCCTTTGCCCACTCTTCCCCCATCTTATCCCCCTTCCCCCTCTCTTCCTTCTTTGGCCTTAACATTCTCCCTCTCCCTACTTCCTTTCTCAGGGTGGACTTCGGTCAATCACAAGCGCCATCAGAGAAATCATTGCAACCGTCAGTTCCACAATCATACGGTTCAATGAGATGGTCCACAAGGAAGATCACGGTTATCAGTTGGTGGCACCCCTGCACTCTAACTAGGCACCTCACACCCCCATAGCCAGCAGCCCATGTGATACCACCCCACCTGGTCCCCACAATTGTGCCACGTAGTACACATGCTCTTTCGCGTGCTTCACAAGCCACCGCCCAAACCCTCCCGCCTATTTCCAAATCTCATGGAGGTTTAGCTTGGTCACCTGACCACCTTTGCTGTACCCATCCCTTGACACCTGGTGGACCCCTACATTTGTGTACACAGCTCGACCCTTCTTCATCCCATCTTGAGACCGATTGCTTTGCTCCTAGACCGTCCATCTCTGGAGATCGCCCTTCCACAACTCCATCTTCTCCATGGGCTCACCATTGCACAATCATTCTCACTCTTCTCCTTCTCTTGTAGCCAACCCCCCTCCCCTCCCTCCATGACCACCCTTTCCAGGTCGGCTGGAGCTCCTCGCAACCCCCGTCTTCCTCCCAGGGCGGGTCTCTCCATCCTTCCCCGACCTTTGTCAACCTCCATCTTGTACCCTCTCCTCCCCTTCTTCTTTGGCCCCCACCCCTCTTCACCTCTTGACCTCCTCTCTGCCCCACATACCTCCTTCAACACGACCAATTTTGTGCCACTTCTTTGCACCTCTTTCGACCATCATCACCTCTGCTCCCATGCAACCCTTGACCAGGCTCGCCTCTCCTCCAAACCCTCCTTGGCCCCATCCCTATACCCCTAGTCCCCTACTTTTCCTCGTTTTGGGCCTAGCCGTTACCCTTCACCTCTCCCATACCCTTCTACGTTCTTCACCCTTCTCCCTCCTTTTGCCCTTACCATGGCTGTCGATATGCCATGCCCAACCGCTCCTTTCTGTCCCCTCCTTCCCTTCTCCTTCTCTGGCCTTTCCCTCTATCCTCTCACTAGCTCCCCCTCTCGGGCACTTATCCTCTAATCAGCTCCCCCGCTTGTCTTCACCACGGTGCAACATACCCAATGTGACTCTCCATCCATCACAGTTGGCTCCCCTTCTCAGCAGGAACCACCCTACTCCTCCCTTCCTGCCCCCCACATCTCCATCCCCCCCAACCCCTCCTTGTCTCTTGGTTTGGGAAAAATCTTGGCCCAGCCACCTTCGGAATCCAACAGAAGTCCCAAGCCTCCCCTCCCCCCCACTCGCCCCTCATGGGGTGAGTACCAGCCTTGTTTCCCTTGCAGCCTAATCGACAACCTTCTTGCTCATTACCATTTAGATCCTTCGGCCTCTCCTCACCCTTCTGGCCTCCCCTCATCCACACCACCAGATGCCATTCGTTCAAGATTTCTCCAACCACAACCTCCGTCCCCATCTCTGCTACAGCCCCTCCCTTCCGCAGTACCTCTCCAACCACTTCAGTTATAGCCTCCAGACGTACTCATCGGCATCAGTGGACTCTACTTTCGTCCAAGACATGGATCAATCCCAAGGGGACATGCTCGAGGTCCTTAAAGTCATGGGCATTGGCATTGAAGAAGCTTTGGAAGCTTTCATCTCATTTAACCCCAACAATCAACACAAGCATGGAACTAAAGAAAACGTGAGCTCTCCAATTTAGTCTTTGCGATGAACTGCGACAAGGGAACACCGGTGGACATTCCCTCCAAGTCCTGTGCCTCTTCCTCCTAGCCAACCAGGCACTCTTCTAGGCGCTCCTCAAGGCACACCCGACCCCTCCCGTCTTCATCATGAGGATACTAATCTGGAACATCCATGGCCTGGGCTACTACAACAAACAAAACTTTGTTAGAGATCTATGCTCCAAGTTCTCCCCTTCTATTCTTCCACTTGTACAAACCAAGCTCCCTTAACCTACCCTTCCCGTCATCTGCAAAAGCTGGGGCTTCAGACCTAGCCAGTGGGTTGCCCTCGGCGCACAAGGAACCTCTGGGGGAATCTGGGTACTCTGACCCTTCCATCCATGTCCTCGTCACCTCTCGGACTGGCTTATTCTCTGTCACCATGGTCCTTTCTAAAGCCTTTGATGGTATGCTCTGGAAGTGCACTATAGTTTAAGGTCCAAATTTTGATAATCTCAAGGACTCCTGGGCCGAACTCCAATCCTTGGTCTCTTTGACCCCTTTTGGGCCGAACTCCAATCCTTGGCCTCTTTGGCTCCTCCTGGTTGGTGTTTAGGGAGAGATTTCAATGTCACCAGATGGTCCCACGACCACAACTCCACCCAAAGAATCTCCCTTGTAATGGTCCAATTTTCCGGTTTCATCTCCCAGAATCAACTCTTCGAAATACCCCTCGAAGGGGCTCAATTCATGTGGTCTAACCATTCCATCAATCCCTCTCTTTCCAAGTTGGACACGTTCCTCACCTCTTTGGAATGGGATTGGTCTTTTCCCAAGGCTCATTCCTTTGCCCTTTCGAAACCCACATCTGACCATTTCCCTATC